TATCTAAATATCTAATAATCTAAATATCTAAATATCTAATAATCTAACACTCTAACAGGAATCTAACATTTAAAATCATGTAGAGAGTGTTCTGCTAAATGTACTTTAAGAACTTTCACTAAAGTGGAGTTTTAAATGCAGGACTTCTTGTATAAAAGTATTTGTACACTGTGGTATTACTATTTTGTACTTCTTTTCTTAGTTAATATTTCATAGTTCACTTTTAAATGATCAGTTTTCTTTTGTTTTGTTTTTTATTTTCTCTACTTTTTTGTGTTTCTGAATAATTGTTGCTTTTTATGTCCGCTGTGTTAAATTTTCTTTATTTTCTTTATTTTAGCTTCATAATTATGAAGCTTCTTTTGTTTTTGTTCAAAAGTACTCATACTCAGCTTCGTTGGCAGTACGTTTCTTTAAGTCGCTCTCACTTTGTCGAAAATATCATCAGATTATATTATGCAATAATTTAGTTTTTTTTAATTTTAAACCTGAATTTAAATGAATGGTTCATGAGATGCTCTCAGGTTCTAATCTTTAAATGAACTATAATCATTCTCATTATTATCCTTATTATAATAATACTACTAATAATAATAATTATTATTATTATTAGTAGTAGTGGTATTATTAGTCGTAGTGGTATTATTATTATTAATATTATTATTTTCTCCACATAACCCTGTGTTGCGTGGATCAGAGCTCTACTGCCCCCTGCTGGTGCTTCAGGTGAACTGCAGACCGAGTCACAGAACTGAGCCTCTCATTGTGGTCCAGTCTGATGCGTGACAGACAGCACGCGGTCCGGCGTCTCAACACGACGATGAGATCACGATGAGTTGGTGATTTATTATTATTATTTTAAATCATCACTGCGCACGTGCCTCGCTGCTCTCGGACGCGTCTTCTTCTCTCTGCAGCGCTCGTGCATCGATCGTTTCGTTAAGGGACTCTGGACCCGCCCCTTTCCTCTCACATCATCCGACCACAGAGACCTGATGACGGCCAACAGCAGGTACAAGAGCCGCGCGCCGCAGGCAGGTAAGTGATCACCGCGTCACAGCTTTAATGCAGCATCGAGTATTGATTATTGATCAGTGAGTCATCTGCTCTTCTTCTTCTTCTTCTCCTGCTGGCTGCATGCACGTCTGTCCTTCTGGTCCCGGATGTCTCCTGGAATGTGTCTCACTGACTCAGAGGATGGAGAGGTAAGACACACGCGCAGGGGACAAAGGTGTGTGTGTGTGTGTGTGTGCGCGCGTGTGTGTGTGTGTGTGTGTGTGTGTGATCCCTTTGTTGTGGTGCACACAGCTGTCTGTATATTTAAACGTGTTTAATCAGCTTTTATTGGTTCTGGTTCATAGAATCAGAAGCTGTCCCTCCTCACTTCCTCGTTTCCGGTTCCTTTAGTGTGAAACATCTGTGCACACATCTGTCAACAAGAAGAATCAGAATTAGATTAGTCGAATAATCGATCAGACCAAACACAGAATATTTATTTGTGGTTGAGTTTCAGTCATATTTTCAAACTGAAATCATTCCAGACTGTATTCTTCATGTGTGATAATAAACTGAATGTGTTCACTGTTTCATGGACAGTATGATTGATAAGTCATTTAAAAGCTCTAATAACAATAACTGAATGTATTTGACTTCACAGAATCAATAATCTAATAACTAAAATGTTCTTTGAAGAATACAGTCGGAGACTTTAAGCCTCGTGTCACAATAACTTTATTTCAAATGTTAATCAAAGTGTTTAAAATGTGGAATATTTACATTTGAATAAAACTACATCTTCAATATTTCACTTCATGAGAAGCTGAAACAAGATGAAGAATTTAACGATTATCACGATTAATCTGATTTTGATTATTTTCTTGATTCACAAGTTGAACACAGACTTTTTAAAATCATGAATTTATTCTTTTAGAACAGACGTGAAGCGTCTTTATTCTGAGACAGACGCCGAAAATCCCAACAGCTCAGTCAAGCTGCTGAGGCTGAGTCAGTGCGTGTGTGTGTGTGTGTGTGTGTGTGTGTGTGTGTGTGTGTGTGTGTGTGTGTGGGTGTGGGTGTGTGTGTGTGTGTGGGAGGATCCGCAGACAAAACGTCAATATATGGAAGCAAACTAAACCAAACACCCCCACACATCTCCTCGTACACAGCTCCATCTGGTACAGTAGGTTTTGGATGTAAAAAGCCAGATGCATGATGGGAGGAGGTTCTCTGATGTGACCTACTTCCCGTCTCCTCCTCCGGTGTTCCGTGGTGTTCCGTGTTGTTCCGTGTTGTTCCGCGTTGTTCTGTTTTGGAGCCGCCATGTTGATGACTGAATGCTCTGGAGAACCTCAGGGCTCTGGGTGTCTTTAATAAAACATGAGGAATCATGGGAAACGTTGTCCTACTGACCCAGACGGGGGTCGGCCATTTTGATTTGTTGACATGAATAAAAACAAAATTTAATTATAGTCGTTTTCTGACTCTCATAAAACGGTTTAATTTATGTCAACAAAAGAACCAAAACACAGTATCTGTACATAGACTGTGTATTACTACAACCTGACTGTGTATTACTACATTCTGACTGTGTATTACTGCATCCTGA